GACAGCCTAAATGTCCATCAATGGATGACTGGATAAAGAAGAGGTGCTATATTTATACAATGGAATACTACTCAGCCATAAAAACCGACATTAATGCCATTTGCAGCAACATGGATGCTCCTGGAGAATGTCATTCTAAGTGAAGTAAGCCAGAAAGAGGAAGAAAAATACCATATGAGATCACTAATATGTGGAATCTAAAATAAAACAAACAAACAAACAAATCATAAATACAAAACAGAAACAGACTCATAGACATAGAATTCAAACTTGTGGTTGCCAAGTGGGTGGGGGTTGGGAAGGGACAGACTGGGATTTCAAAATGTAGAATAGATAAACAAGATTATATTGTATAGTACAGGGAAATATATACAAGATCTTTTGGTAGATCACAGAGAAAAAAATGTGACAGTGAATATATGTATGTTCATGTGTAACTGAAAAATTGTGCTCTACACTGCAATTTGACATAACATTGTAAAATGATTATAAATCAATAAAAAATGTTAAAAATAAATAAATAAATAGAAGGAGAAGAGGAGGGAAAATGAAGATGCAATCACAAATAACCAAGATGATGAAAAGAGATTTCAGGAGGAAAAATAAATATGTAGGAAGACACCAAAAAAAAAAAAAGGTGGGGTCTTAATATCATCATTTCAGGAAATTTACTTCACATATTCTTTTTGTTTTAGACTATATATTGATATATATTTATCTGTATATTCATCCATCCATCCATCCATCCATCCATCTATCCATTTATCTGTCAACCTACTGATGTATTTATATATTTACCTAGGGTTATTTCAAATGTACTGATCTATATTTGTATTCAGTTAATCTATGATTAATTCTAACACAATCCCTGTTGCCCTATTCCTTCCTCTGTCCCCCCACCAACATGCTATAGTTTGTTAGTGGAAAGTTGTGATAGTGTAAAACAAAGAAATCTTGTCTTTTACATTCTAAGTACTTCATATTATAATGCTTTGACCTAAAAATATATTTTTTAAATTTTTTGTGGGTTTATTAATTTTTTCAACAGAAAAGCTTTTAAATTCACATAGCTAAGCTCTCATACACATCTATGCAGTATACTCAATGGTTTTAAGCTAGTTTTGAAACATAGCCCTAGGATGAATGTTTCAGCTCTGCAAATTACTAATATATTATTTACTCAGCAATAATTAAGGATGACAGTAATGACACTGGACTCAGAGGGTTCTTGTGTCTATCGCAGTGTTAACATTAAATGAATTCTAGTACTGTTATTAACAGAGAAGTTAAAAGGACCAAAAGTTTTACAATATTCTTCCTTGAAACTTGTCAAGCATTATTTAGCTACATTGGATTTAAAAAGCTGATTAAAATAGAAAATTTGTCAGCTAGGAAAAAAAATGAGATGAAAAACAGATGGATACTAAAAAGTGCGGAATATGAGTGGCAGTGGGAAGTTAAACAGAAGCACACTTACGGAGTTGCCCGAGTCGAGCTTTTTCTTTTTTACCAAACAAACGTCCTATTGAAGACTTGATTCCTTTCTTTTTGGGAGCTTTGTGAAGAGAGTCTTGGCTGCTGTTGGCACTGCCAAGCCCAAGGCTTTCAGGCTCAAGGGAGGCAGATAAACTACTGCAAAACATAAAAGAGGGCAAAATACTTGCTTTGATGCAACATCCACAAGGTTCACAAGACTTAATTCCTTTATAAAACTACAAAAGGAGGAATAAGTAGACTCTGAATGTTATTTTCTCCTTTTCTTCTTAAGCATATTCAAGTATGATTTCCTTATCCTGAGGGAACTGAGCCCCCAAATTTTCTCTAGAAAAATTTCGATTTTCTTCCAAATAATTTTTCCCTTACTTTTTGTACAATCTCAAACTAATCAATGGGCATAAGTTGGTTTATTAAGTATACGTTAAATGACCTTCTATAATTTAGCCCTTGACCCTTTACCTTTTTCTTTTTTCTTTTTGAAGTTTTTTATTGAAGTGTAGTTGATTTACAATGTTAGTTTCGGGTGTACAGCAAAGTGATTCAGTTACATATATACATACATATATATTTTTTCTTTTCAGATTTTTTTCCATTGTATGTTATTACAAGAAATTGAATACAGTTACCTGTGCTATACAGTAGGTCCTCGCTGTTTATCTATTTAATATATAGTGATGTGTATCTGTTAATCCCAAATTCCTAATTTATCCCTCCCGCGCCCTTCCCCATTTGGTAACCATAGTTTGTTTTCTATGCCCGTGAGTCTATTTTTGATTTGTAAATAAGATTTATATCATTTTTTTAAAGATTTCACATATAAGTGATATTATATGGTATCTGTCTTTCTCTGTCTGACTTACTTCATTTAATATGATAATCTTTAGTTTCATCCATGTTGCTGCAAATGGCATTATTTTATTCTTTTTTATGGATCTGAGCATAATGACCTATGACAATAAATTTAATTATAACTAAGAAAGTTTATGCTTCTATTCTAGGTCATGGTTTTACTGGATTTTCCTCTAGCCATCTTTCTCTCAGTTTTGGGGCGTAATTCATTGAATTTTAAATTACTTGGGTGGGATTTTGAAGAAACAAATCATATACCCCAGCAAATCACTGCATATTTTTTCTTATAGTTCTCAGAGGTTTTTTTGTGTGGGTTTTTTTTTTTGCATCCCTGGGTGGGCACAATCAGGTATTCTGTTAAGAACATGGTAAGTTGAAATGACTTCCAGTTTGATTTAGTTTCCATTCCCTGCTCAATGTGTTTGACACTGTACTAATAGGACAAGTTCAATGATGTTACTATTAGTTTTTTTTTTAACAGCTGTTACTTTGACAATATCATGATGAATTATTTGACTTTACTTAATTAGTCTGAGTTCACATTCTCTGAACTCCAAAAGCTAGTGCTTTTCCTATGTTACAATATAATTTACTCTTTTTTTTTGAGAGTGGAGGAAGTATATATTTTGAAGCTAGAATAACCTTTTTTTCCATTAGAAATCAAAAATAAACAAAACAGAAAGAAAAAATGTCTGCTGGAACAGAAAACTCAGCTTGCAAAAATGTTTGTTGTAAAACATACTTTTTAGAAGATAGAGTCTTACTTAAAGTATTAATCATTAAGTCATTATGTTATGTCAGTTATGTGTTCAGAGAGGTTGTAATTGATGACAGTGGACAAATATACATTTAAGATGTAAATTGCATGTTTAGATATATTTATGCCATTAATTACTATAGAGATCTGCTTCAGTTTTTTTTGGCAGTATGAAGAATTGCTATGACCAATGGGATATTTCCCCACGTAAATTCATCCTTTCTTTGAATATTCTGGTGAATGTGTTTTTCCTTTCCAAGGAGGAGTTGTCATAGCTGGCAACAGCAGCACCCGTAGGGTGACGGACACACATGTCTGTTTAAAGTGGTTGGGGTGCAATCATAAACTTTTCAGACCTTAATTATCCTTACCCTAGAAGTCAAATTTATTTAGAATCCCTTTAGTTTTTTGTGACTATTCCTAATAAGTCTTTCCTGTAGCCTGACTCCATTTCAATAGGCAATATCTGCTAAAAATAGAAAAGGTATATTAGCTAGTAACAAGACCATAAATATACAGTTAATTTTAAAACTAAAAAATTTGATCTCAGAATGAAATTTTTTTTTTCACAAGTGATACTGTGGAGAGACAGCAGGACAATATCCTAATGGAGAATTACAGCTCAAGTCAAAATTTTTATATAAATGTTTAAGCAGTCTATTTGGTTAACACTGAAAAGAAGAATAGTTTTGGAAGGAGAATATACAATGCGCAGTGTGCTGGAAGAGCCATACCTCCGAGCCTCATTGTGGTAGGAAGAAGGGAGAGTGTGAGTCATCCTGATGGCTCTAGGGGTAGGGGGAGGAGAAGTTTCACATTTAATTGTTGCTTTATCCTCCCGACCATCTTCTTCTACTACTGCAATCTAGAAGCAAAAACAATACCTTCAGATGAACTCTTTCTAAATTTCAACTGAAAATGATGAAAATGGAGAATCATTACAGCAAAGCTACTTGAGTAATTCTAATAAAAATAAAACAAGAGACGTGGGGGCGTATAGGTCTTTCATATATAAATTCACATTACTAAACAGTGTGAATTTCATAACTGTTTAAAAGTGAATACACTGCAGTTTAAATACAGACCCCCCCACATACATGGATTGACTACACAACAATATTATTTAAGAGTAAATAAACATCACAGATCAATATCCAGTGACTATGATTCACGCTACCTTGGTATCCATTTCAATATATTAGAATGTAAACACTTTACAAAAAGTTATTGAACACATAATGGAGCTAATTCACTAAAAAAAAATGCAAATCTAGGTTATCATAACATGAACATTTTTTAAGTGGGAGATTTTTGAATTGAGAAGTTGGTAAAATATAACTTTATCAGATAAAGTATTTTAAATCAGGCTAATTAAATGTGTTTCAAGATGTTTAAAAAAGTTGCAGTTTATAGGGGAAAAGTCTTTAATTTTACAGTGAGAATAATAAAAGGTAAGAACATAATGTCTGCAAAGTTTTTCATTTTACTACCTCTCATGGGCAAATTAACAAAGGCACACAAAACACCATTAAAAGACTGGATGGAAAGAATTCTTTTACAGAATTTAATTCAGAGTCCAGAACAATTCAGGATACCATAAATTTTGTCAGGGGTAGACATGTAGAACTATATTAAAATAAGACTTTTCAACAATCAAGTTAATTGTACAATCAATAAATATATTTGTAAAAACAACACTGCATTTTTTTCATAGGATCATTGTGCATTTGTATATATACATAAGTATGTGTATGTATATATATATAGAGAGAGAGATTGTGGAAAGCATATCTAAAAGACATATGGTTCTAGAAGTTCTGATGAAAAAGTTCTATGGTTATAGAAAAGTTATATGGTTATAGCTAAAAATTTTAAGCTGTGTTCTCGTCTTACGTTTTCACAGCTTCTTGTGTGCTTCTATATTAAGCTGTTCGGCATAAATGTGTTTATATATGATAAAGACTTCATGCCTTGAAGAAACTTAATGAAATTGTTTTTCTGGGCTCTTGTTATTCCAACTTAGATTACTTTTAAAATCTTATGCAGGCATCTTAATAGGATCTTCTCTCTCCATTTCAATTAGCATAATGCCACCAGAAGAATATTTTTCAAGAACTGCTTTCAGCAGGTCAACACTATGGAAAACCCGTTCTAAGCTCACATCTTATCTAAATGCATAAAGTGTGTTTGTAACTCTTCCTAATATGTACTTATATTTTCACAGTTCCATGATCTAACCATGATTGTTTTCCACAATTGTTTCTGCTAGGCTCAATTACTTCTGTTTCCAGATTTTTTTCCCCTGAAACACCCTCTTCTAAAATGCCCTCCTGTCTCCACACTGCCAGTCATATTAGGCCAACTTTCAAAACAACGGCTCTTTAAAAAAATCATACACAAACCATTTCTCTGAACCATTTCTTAGAGCTCACCCTATATAAACAAAGTAGAGGAGAAAGACTTTGGAATCAGAGATGGATGTGAATCCTGGCTTCTTTTATTTGTTGGAACGATATGTGCTAATTACTTACCTGATCTAAGATTAAATTTCCTCAACAGTAAAATGGAAGTGATAATGCTTAGTTTAATGTGTTCTTTTGAAGTGCAAATAAAATCATGCATATAACTCCTTACCCTGATGTACAACAAATTTTAGTTCGTGGTCTTCTTTCCGTGACCTACCTTTCTTACCAATCATCTATTTACTCCCTTAATTCCCTGAGGCTATATTTCTGCACAGGACTTTTCTTTTTGATTTTTTTTCTTACACTCACTGAAATACTTTTACATCATCTACTCAGATTTATTTCTATATTCCAAGTCTAATCCTTTTAAGTGGTGGAGGAAGTCAAAGACAAATAGTAATAACATTATACATGGTAAATTTGACAGTTGCGAACTAACTAGTAGTGTCAGGAAGACACTAACAGAAGATAGACGGTGGCTCAGGGAAAGACAAAGAAAATTTAAATGATCTAGGTCATGTAGGCATACTATGAATTCCTTTAATTTATAAAGAAAATATTCTCTCATTCCAGAAGTTGGGCATAGGCTGACTACCACATTTTGAAGATGCTGAAAAATGGACTGATGCATTGGATAGTAGGTTGAATCTTTGAAACCTTTCCCATCTGATATCCCGTGAGTCTGAGCTCTGCAGTTCTCAATTATCTAACAAGATGTCATTCTGTGAATCAGAATTGCAGTCCATTTTGTTTCCCATATCCAGCATTTGTTCTCTTGGCTTAATTCCAGGCAGGAAAAGCAGTATATTAATTATATTGTCTGTATTTTTGATGCCGTGGCACCTGGGGCCATGGAAACACAGGAGATGATGCCCCTCCAATAGCTAGCTAATTCATAGAGGTAGCACACTACTTTCCTTGAGTGTGCCTTCCATGTGCAAAGCAACCAGTCTGGACAAATCCTTCAAACCGTCTTCTCTATCTGGCTCTCAGCACTCCAGGAGGCAATATTCCTCTGCCTTAATCATTCCAGGCCAGGTACCAGACAACTAGAGAAAGCCCCTATATACTAGGACCCACTAAAATTGTTCGAACTAGCTAATCTTAAGTATTTACCAAGCCTTCTCTTTCCCACAACAAAAAAGATTCCCACCCATGCTCTTCCCTCACTCTTTCCGCCTCCTGACCCACGCTGGTTCTTCCCCTTGGCCTGGCCTAGCATGGCATGTCCTTCCTCTTGGGAAGCATGAGTAAAAGGTATGGTTTAGTTAGCAGTTGTTTCTTGATCTGTTGGTCTCACATATCTGAACAGTGGTAAAACCCACATTTTAAAACAAGCAGCATTGTTCATGTATTGACAGTAAACTAATTCTACCAACAGAGGTCTAAGAATTTTGTGGAAAATCAGGACATTTAGTCCCCATGGTCTAATCATTAATCCAGAAAGCAAAAACAATTTTATTCTGAGACAGTAGCTCTTACGATCATATTTAAACAATTCAAAAACACTTTTTTATGTGTGTTAAAAAAAATTCTTTTTTATGTTAACACAATGCTTCAGTTAGAGGAAATACACTTTTAAAGCTTTCATAGAGAAAACAATATTCAATTAATAATCATGTAAAAGAAATGTACAGTACCTTTCTCCGATGTTTCCTTAGATCACTTGGCTGTGATTGGCAGTAATAAAAGCAACATAAAACAGGACTAATTAATGATTACCATTTGACCATTTTACAAGTTTAAATAATATCTATAATGTAACTTTCTCTTTTTTTCCACTCCATTATTTTCTAAATAAATGTCTTTTAACCATTGTAAAAGCATTCCTCCAGGGAGTTATTTTAGAGAGGAAACTTTCTAGATGGCATGGGTTGGGGCAGGTCTTAATGATGGGATCATGTGTACATGAGATGTGAAACATGGATCTTAAGGAATACAGAGCTCATAAGGAGTGAGGGAGCCAGAGATACATATGGGACTATAATATATCCTCCTAAGAATATATAGACGGGAGTGAAGAAGATCATGTGTAAATGAAGATCCAATGCATGTGTATATAGTTTATAAACACTTTCTTTTATATCATCTATGCAGGGCCCTGGGCCTCCTTTGGGCAGATATGCTGTTTGATATCTCTCTCTCTCTCTCACACACACACACATGCACACACACACACACATGCACACACACACACATATGCATACACACACACAAACACACACAGATGTAGGCTTTGTGACACTTTTTATAACAGCTTCACAGCCTCCTGACCAGAAACACTATATACACTTCCTACTCCACTCTAGTATTACTAATTTCCCTTCCATTTGTTATATTTGTGCTAGATTTTTTAGTGTATAAAGTATTGTTTGACCTATTTTAAACTTAATTACTCTCTATCCCTAAACTTTTATTTTTAATTGGAATTTTATTGTTTTAATAATAATAGTTTTAATACTCATTACAAAAACATAGAATTTTACCTCCATAAACAGTTTAGAATATTTAAACCTTCATTACTGTTGTCATTTCAACATACTTCCAAGTAATCACAGAAAAAAAAACCCAGAATAGTATATGCTTTTGAATTAGTGAATTTGAAGAAAAATCCAGTTCCACTTTACTAGCTGTGTTGAACATGGACAATTAATTTATACTTTCAACATTTCAGTTATCTCTGCTCTCTACTGAGATAATGCCCTAAGATTTTCAAATGTTATCATGAGAATCAAATAACTAAACATTATAGCATTCAGTAGTCATCTCACACATATTTTCCAGAAGTTTTTCTATATTATTTTTTAGCAAGGAGCACTTTGATTTTTTTCTCTATTACATTAAGGGTACTTCTTAATTTAGATTTCCAACTTTTAATCCCAAATGAAGATAAATAAAATAAAGAATAAAGAAGGATGAAAATGTAGACATGAAATTATAAAACACGACTGGGAAATTGCTACTGCTGTTGGTAGCTCTTCTTCTAAAATTATATTATGTATATTATAAAATTATACCATTCTACATTGGTATGTTGAAGCAATTATTATAGATACTTCTTATATTTCATTGTGTTAAAAAAATCCAGTCCAAATTTATTTCATCAAGATATCATCAGTAAAAACGTGCTTAATGGTTTAGGTAAGTGAGATTTCTGACGTGATATTTAGATCTGCTTTTTCATTTATTTATTACGTGACCTTGGGAAGTTCTACCTATATAGGCTACATTTCCTCATCTCATAGCGGGATTATTATTTGTACCCACCGCACAGGGTTGTTGAGAAAAAAAGAAAACAAAACACACAGAAAGCTTAGACTAGAATAAACATCCAATACATTTTAGGGAATGTAGTCTTAAAACTAATGGGGGCAACTGGTCGCTGGACATATCATACCAGTGTCATGACTCCCATCCGATCCATTTCCCGGGCAGGACTTCGAGGGGTGAGCTTTGGCGTTGAGTGTCCACTCGGGGGAGATGAACTGGCCAGCGAAGAAGCTGTAACCGAGGCAGTGATGGAGGTACCTGGGTGGACCCTCGCTAAATTCAGGCCTTCCAGACTCACACTAGCCACTCTATTCTCAATTTCTTCAGCACGTAATTCTGTAGATTCTTTTTCTTCCTGAATTAGCCTGAAAGATACAGTTTAATTTTGATACATTATACACTGTTATAATGTTAATTGGAAGTCGCAAAATAAATAGATAAATGCTTTGCAAACATTTTATATCAAATCTAATATTTTCTTTTTTTTTCTCTAGGTAATATAACTTTCAATAAATTCCGGAGGCTTCTTGGCTGAAATTTAGAAAATCCTTCTTTTCAAATGATATATAATTCCTCCCCACTTTCAGTTTGACCTCTTTTCTATATTACCCACCATTAAAACTCTTTTAAAACCTTGCCTGTCTAGTTAATTTCTGCCACAAATCCTAATCCTATATTTAAGTCCAGGAACCAGTAAATGAGACTTTTAGAAACTCAAATCTCAACAAAATCATTGACTCTTACTTCCTACCCATGAAAATGTATAATTGATAGAATCCTTGATAAATGCTCATTCATAATTATCATTTGGCCAAATAAAACCCTGAGTCTTTTTCATCACCAATGCCAATTTAGCTAAGGTGCCTTTAAATAAGCACCAAGCAATTTAATAATGTGGAGATGATAGATAGTCTAAACTTAAAAAAAAACTGTTGATGTAAGTGCTTTTGAGAAGACAAAGCACTATTACTCCTTTTTTTTTTAAATAGGGAGAAGCTTCAAGAATATGTATAATTTAGTTATTACAAAGACACAAAGAATAAAGAACTTTCGCTTGGTTGCTTAAAGATCCTCTTTGAGTTGAACCTATACAAATTTTGCATACTGTTAACAATAAAACTGTGTATCAGTACAGTTTGTTTGAAAAAATGGGGGTTAGAAACCACCCCTCTTGAGATATTTTCCTCTTAACTACAAATGACTTACTGTGATTTCTTATGATATATAACGCTAACTTCAAGGATATGATCCCTGCAAAGTTTTCTTTTTACATATTTACTTTGGAAAAATGTGGAAGTTTCTTATAAACCTAAACATATTCTTTCTATATAATCTAGTGACTGTGCTCCTTGGTATTTAACCGAAGGAGTTGAAAGCATATGCCCACACAAAAACCTGCACACGGATGTTTAGAGCAACCTGATCCATAATTGCCCAAACTTGGAAACAACCAAGATGTCCTTCACTAGATGAACAGATAAATAAACTGCAACATTTAGACAATGGAATAATATTCAGCGTTAAAAAGAAATGTGCTACCAAGCCATGAAAAGACATGGAGGAATGTTAAGTGCATATGACTAAATGAGATAAACCAATCTAAAGAGGCTATGTGTTGTATTATTCCAACTGTATGACTCTCTAGAAAAGGCAAAACCATGGAGAAAGTAAAAAGATCAGTGGTTGTCACTGTTTGGGAAGGGGAGAGGGATGAATAGGCAGAGCACAGAGAATTTTTAGGGCAGTGAAAATACTTTGTATGATACCATAATGATAAATACATATCATAATACATTTTATAAACTCATAGAATATACAACACCAAGAGTGAACCATAATGTAAACTATTGCTTTGAGTGATATGATGTGTCAATGTAAGTTCCTCAGTTGTAACAAATATACCATTCTGGTGTAGGATGTTGATGGTGGGGGAGGCTATATACATGTTCAGAGCTAAGAGGAATATGGGAAATCTATGTACTTTCCCTCAATTTTGCTGTTAACCGTAAACTACTATAAAAAAACAAGGTCAATAAAAATACTAAGAGGCATATCTATTCTTAATTATAATTTTTCACTTTCACAAAGAATATGAATTGTTCTTTGAAGTTTATTTTTATGGGTGCATTTTAACTTTACCAAAGATCAGAATCCCAAGGACAATTTAATCAAGTAACAGCACAACATCATTAATGTTTTAAAACACATTCCAATGGAAAAACTGCCTCCTCTTTCAAAAAAAAATAATTTTGTACTTTTAAAATGATTAGTGGGAAATGACTCCTTGAGAAAAACATTCTGTTGAGAGGCAACATAGCTCTGCTGTGCAAAAAACAAAAACACAAACACGTGGTTATTAACTCTAGGTATTCTATTGATTGTCAAGGGAAGTCAAACCTAGAGGAACTACTTCAGTAAACGGTAGATTGGAGTCTAATCAAACAATAAATCCAATGCTACCTAGATGTTCAGGTTTTTTTTTTTTGTAAAAATAACTGACTACCCATTGATATGTAGGATCCTGATGTTAACATGGAAGGCAAAGAAAATAGCAACAAAACATGTGCCTTTTAGTCCTACTGTGTTAAGAAGGAATTCCCTTAGGAGTCACAGAGAAGGATGAGAGGACAAATAAAACTACAAAAAATAAGGCAGGCAAAACAGTAGCTAACTATAGATGAACAGATGAATAAACACTGCAGTGGCAAATGAGCTTGAAGTAATGTGCATCAGTGAACTGTGAAGAAGCCAGAGAAGAGGCATTGTTTTAACAGTTAAATCTGTTCATGGAAAAAAAAAAGAACAATCTTACCCAGAGGTAAATTCTGGTTGGTGTTAGCAGATCACCACAGCTTTTTAACAAGATGCTTTTCTTTTTTTTTGAGTGTGGGTATGTACTCAAATTTCATGTACTTCTTAGTATTTTACAAATCAGCCATATTAAATACATTATGGGAGACAGGGAGGAAACATACTGAAGGACATTAGTTTGAACACATTATCTGAGTATCGGCCAGTCTAGGCCAAGATTGTGACTGGGAATCACCACCCTAATGTCACAAAGCTAAGAGCCCCTGGGGAGATGTAGGTTGTTCTGGAGGGTGTGTGTATATGCTTTTGGTGAAAATAAATATCACCGAGATACACACTTGATTTCAAATCTATTCAGTGAGTTTAACCATTATCTTCACAGCATTAGAAAGTGTTCTTTAGTTGGAAATGATGTTCTATGTTATTTTTAATATGTATACAGTAATCAAATATTTGTGAAGCACTTTCTGTTTATCAAGCAAAATGCTAAGATTTGGAATTAAAACCATAAGCAAAACCAGATAACGTTTCTCTCTAATGATCTAGTGAAGGTAAAGAACTGAAGGACTCAAGGACGACAGTAAAATGAACTGAAGAAGCGATGGCAGAGCTGTTCGTGGTGGGTAAGAGTAAAGGTGGGGAAGTGTGTGGACTAAGGAGAATATTCCAGAAGAAAGGAACAGCAAGAGCAAAGGAGAGAGCATGGGTATTGGAAGAACTGGAAGTCACATGTAATGGGACACTGAGTCTGCAGGTGAAGGGGAAGAGAATGTTGACGAGGTGGGGCATTGTGGACCACATGAAGGACTTTGTTCTTTAAAGAGCAATGGATGCGTTTGAAACAGGGAAATTACATCAGCACACTTGGGTTTTGGAAAGTCTGCTCTGACTGTGATGTTAGTTTGGACTAGATGGGGAGTCCATGTACTACAAAGAGACCAAATAGAAACTATTATGGTCATCCATTTGAGAAAAAAATTGTAATATGCAATAGGGTGATGATAGCAAGGAACTAGGTAGTCTGAATCATATTAAGAGGCCAACAGATCTAGCGAGGGCCAGAAAAAATAATAGGGGTGTTCAAAATAGTAAAAAACTTTTCATCAGTTTTAAAAAAAATGAAAGTTGAAAACAGTTTCTTGATGTTCTAAAGAAAGTAAATCCACCTGACTCAGTCGGGTTCCTCAATGGGATTAGCCAAATTAATGACAGATAAAGACTATGAATATCATTGGGATTCATGAAAGTATTAAATTCAAATTGAAATCATCATAGTGACAACACTCAAAGTTTGAAATATTAAGTTATACAGTTTCAACTCTATAATGTTAACTATTCTTTGGAAACCATCTATTATCCACCATCTAGTATGTATGGTGATAATACATTTTTTCATATCTACAATGAAATAATTCAGTCATAGTTAATTTCACTACAAGGTTTAAATACTTTTTAGGAGCTGGCAGCACATTAATTTGCATATTATTTAGTGCCTTTACTGCAGGGTTAAATTACGTTAGGTATGTACCTTATCACCACAAGTATCATTTAAACAGTAAATTTTTATTTTAAAAGAGCTTTAAAATTCATCAGCTACTTCCTTTACCTCATTCTTTCATATTTCTCTAAAATCAATCATTAGTCTGTACCTTTTTCATGTATGTTTCTTACAAAGGCTATCCTAATTTTATCCTGGAAATCTGTGACAATATTCTGATTCTGTAGCTGTGGGGTGAAGTGTGGAGTGATTCTGCAGTTCTGGTAAGCCCCGTTGATGACACCAACGCTTCTGATCTGATGATCACACTTTTAGAGTCAAGCTCTTCGAAATCCTTGGGACCATCAGCAATAACTGAACTCACCTGATTTCTTTGTTGATGGCATCCAGTTGTTCTTGAAGCATCATGGCGAGAGTCTGGGCATCAGAATGACCACTTGGAGAGAGAAGATCCATTGAACTAAAGATCGTTTCTCTGTCATCATCGTCAATGTCAGACATTTCTGTGTCACTTTCAAAAGGGTGGCTGCTTAGCACTCCCATTTGCTGAGTTCTGTTCCACTCATGATCCCCAAGAGATTTCACCTGGATGGTAAATGAACAATTACAGTATTTATCATATTGCTTATTATCAAAGCACTATTCTGAAAATAAAAACTAAAAGCACACATAGCTTGCCTGGCAAAAGTACAACTGATTATTAACATTTTCATTTGTCACTTCAATGAAATAGTTTCTTGATATCTTAAAAAATGGCAGGTACTAATTTTCAGCATAAACATCGAGATTTTAATAGGAATAAAGATGATAAACTTCTGCATGATTTTTTAGTTCAACCTCAATTCAAGCTAGCAATTACTTTAAAGCATCTATGTCTGTAACATGTTTCCTTGTTTCTAAATATAACACTCTCTATTCACTTGTACTTAAGCATTTCCATCTCTTGTACTACTTAGTCTTACCTAGACTTTTTTATTATAGGCTGAGACTACAAATATTATCACACAACAAATTACACAAGAATTCTTTCCCCAATATTCTAACAAGGTATTAATAAAAATATTGCAAAGCAATTTAATTTCACCTCCACTGCTCTGGTCACTTAAATGCCTCACTGATTTCTTAAGCCCAAGGTATACTAATTTTCATGAGTATATATTTTTAAAATAGTATAATAAATCCTCCATGGGAATGAAAGTCTTGAATAACAGTGTTTTTCAAGCTGTGACCTGAAAGTAGGAGATGGTTTAGAGTAAGAGAGAGACCCTAGAGTTTTCTGCTTTGTAAAAAATTGGTTTTCATATTCATGATGATATAAAATGACTTCTGGTGGGACTACATGATATTTCCCTGAGAATTTACTTAAGATTTGAGGACCTGAATAAGCAGACGTGTTACAAATTGTTTTAGCGTTAAGCGCCCTGATTTATTTGTCACATACAATGAGAAAGATTTCTTTGTTGCTATTCATTCTTCATTGTTCATTTATTTACTTATCCATTCAAAAGACATTAAAGGCCTACAATGAGGGTTTAATCTGTACACGACATGTAGGTGCCAATTAAAACACAAAGGGTGTCAAGAACCTGTACAAATAAGGACACGTAGGTTATATAGTATTTTGAACACATAAAAGAGATTGAGGATAACAAACTATACTTAGGACATAAAGGAACAATATTACCTCTCTATAAAATTCAACTATAAACTTACTCAACACACATAGCTTATAGATTTTAAGTCATTGACTGAATGAAAGGCTGGCACTGCATTTTATCGTGGACAGTTCTCTACAGACACTTCTCAATTTCCTCAAAGTGTTATTAAAATAGTAATTATTATTTAAATATTTACTTAATTGTAATTAACAATTATGAATGCCATTGCTTAAGTGCTCAAGCAAACCAAAAGTCCATTTGTTTGGGAATTATGGCATAATGGATAAAACCACGGGATTTGAAATGACACCAAAACAGGCTCAAGTTTTGACTCTATCACGTTGCTGGCTGTGTAATGTTGAACACTTATAATTTCTGAGCTTCAATCTTTTCATATCTGAAATTAGTATAAAAACAGTACTCAATTCATAAGGTTATGTGAGTAAAATCTTGGGACATGCTGAATTCAATTTCTAGCATGTAGTAGAAGCTTCATATCAGTTATAGTTTTAAAAAATACATCATATGTTATACTTGAAATTTTGTTTTAAAAGTATGTCACATGTCACACTTGAAACTAATACAAATGCTGGTTTTTAAAAATTCTCACAGTATAAAAATTCTATCCAGAATGAAAGTGTATTTACTTAACACCATCAAAGACTTAAAATAAATATTTAACCTTTGGCTCATCTCTCCGCACACCCATGCGGCCTCTCCTTGGTCTTCTTATTACTTTAGTTGTTCTGTAGTCAGACTGACTGTCCACCAAGGATCCAACAGAATACCGCAGCTCAGCTGAGGTGTCTAGATGAGTTCTGGAAAAAATCGAAAACATGAAATATGCCCAACCTCAAAAATTAAACTTAACAGAACATCATTGTCCACTGCTTAACTGGCAATAAATCTAAACTCAAGGGAAAAAGAAAAATAAACTTTAGGGAAGAAAACTGAGGAATAGTCATGACTCTTAGAAGTCTCTTCAGAGGCTTATGTCAGAAATTCCAGTCTCAGGTTCATTCCAAAGGTCATTTATTTTCTCTTTTTAGAATATAAAAAACCTTTCTTTTCATTGACTATCATTTTTAAATGGAGTAGTACAATGAAATATGTTAAGGTTGACAACTAAGATCCATTGGTTACATTTGACAACTTTATTTAGTTTGAACTATTTAGTAGATATTCCAAAATATGCTATTTATTACTGTATATACTTTAAATATTCCTTATTAATCTAACAGAAAAAATGTGTAAACTTTTTGGGTCCCAGAATTATCTATTTTCCAACATTATATTTTTTCAATTTAGAAAATCAGTGAGAAGGTTAAAATCAGATTGACCCAAGGTTAATAATCTTATTTTTTTAATAAAATAGGATATACCACTAGAACAGTTATTCAGCTTTTGATAAGACATTGTTTCAAAAAGATAAAAATCTTTTGATAAGCGTATTTAATTCCTAAATCTGCTTAGAGATTAAACAGTTGAAAAATTCCAATTGGAAAAAATAATCAGACAGATTTTCAAAAACATGATATAAAGTACACTATAATCAAAGGGCAGTAAAGGTTTCTCCAGGTAAGTTATTTATATATAGGTTTATAGAAAATTCAGTTCACTGCTACAAATAATGATGATGATAACAACTGCAACATGCTGTCCTAGAAAATGATCCACCATCAGTAGGAAATATGCTTAAAGCTGTGTTTTCCTCTTGAACTTGGGGCTCCTGCTGGTCTACTATGCTCTCACCCTTAGTTCTCTTTGTGTACAAAGACAAACATCTCCAAATATGTGGCAAGATTAGAAAAGGTTCAGTGAGGTCTAGGTTTCTGAAAAATTAGAAGACACTGACCTAACTGATGCAAGTCCTTGTTCTGCCAAATTGGACATTAAAGCAAATGAACGGAGGACTCACCCCCCAAAGAGATGACAGCTATTGTCTTTACAGCAGTGAACTTGAGACTTAATCAAACAAAATGGCTCCATTATGAATTAGTCACATATTAAAAACTAACCAACCAGGCCATACTCATACAATGGCACAACTCTCAGTCTTTATTTATAGCAGAGGGTATGTTTCATGGAGACAAAGATCAGATTTTAGTCACCATTATATGCTCAAGGAGGTATTCCTAGAATATAATAAGAACTTGATACATATCTACTAAGACAATGAATGAATGCAGTTGATTATAACACAGCCTGAACTTTCTAGCTCAGAACGTTCTAGGGACCTTTCGTCTGTGGCTGCCTAGCGTGATGCCTCTGTGTACATCAGGGTAGAGGTTTTAGAATGTAACTCGTCATTGTTAGCAGTATTGTTTTCTTATTGTTTTATCTGGCAGCTCTAGGTCATTCATAAAAGCACGAAACAAAAACACAGATCTGATGCCCTATTTAGCACCATCAATGCCCTACTCAAAACTCATCACTGTCCTTCCAAGGCCTTCTACCTGGGCCCGATCGACTTCCCAGCTTCACTTCTAGTTACTCTCCGCCTTCTCCCTTCGTCAGCTGTGCTTTTATTTTCTTCAAACTCATACTTTCTTTCCCTTGAACCTCTGAGTATGCTATTCTTTCTGCCTGAAATAATCTCTTTACACATTTATGTGGTTAACATTCTCAGAGTCAGCTTTAAAGTCTCACTGTCATATACTATTCTAACTCCTGATGTTCCCTCTATTAGAACAGTCCTCAAATTCGTAGTCCTGCACCTTCCACCTGGAACGTGTATTCTTCATCACCATTATCACTAGATCTCCCATGTCAGTGTCCCACAAGTAGCAAGTACCTAATTGATCTCGAAAGAACAACAGACTTGAATCATCACTAATTGTAGGAGAGCCCATTGCCTGTACTTCATCTAAAGCAGTTATTCCTCACTTCTCTCCTTTATTCAACTCTGTGAGCTCTCAGAGGCAATACTTCTATATATTTCAATTTTTAAATTATTCTTGTTATATAATATTTTGAGAGACACTTGCAGATATGTTACAATACAGTCACTGGTTCAAGGAAACTTGTAGCTTTCCCGCCCAAATCTCCTGCATATAATCTCACAAAAGAACTTCCATAGATAAAGCTAGTATGAATTTTCTTCGGGAAAGCCTGTTACCCATCCCTCTGCTTCCTGGAATGCCCTCCATTGTCCTTTCCAATCATCCAGGTCCTACCCTTTCTTCAGAACTGAGCCAAATCAGGCCTTCATCCCCTTTCCTCTAAGATGAGATACTAGTAGAGGATGTTAGTTACTGATATTCTCTCACTTTAGCTCATCTCTTCCTACTGCCCCACCTGTAAGATCAAAAACTAGTAGATAAAGTTCTCATGCATTTTCTGTTTTCTTCATTGTCTCTTTATCAATTGTGTGCACTCAGAGATACAAATGTTGAACAAATGCTACTGAATAAATATTCAGTTACCTGGTAACTTATAAAATTAGCGATCTTAGTAATACCTGTAACACTTGTGATGTGATTTACTATTTTTAAAAAAAACCTTTTTTACTTGTCTCATTTTATCTGCAAAATAAGCTTATGAGTCATAAAATACGATTTTATATAGAATTCACGTGAAGTATACATGAGTTGAATTACTAAGAAAAATTGGGTTCTCCAAAATCAAATAGCTAGTAATTGTATGTCTAAGACCTAGGAATGTCAGTCTTTAAATTTTCAGTCGTGTTGTTTCTACTACAGTCTGTTACATCAGAGAATAATTGTTCTGTATGTAGTTCCCAAGCTTCCCTGATGATCCTTAATTGTAGATAAATATCACATTGTTAAGCTGCCATGAAAACTCACTACAATGATGGACTTTTACACAACACTTCTACAACTCTGTATTTCTAAGACATAAAGTCAAAAAGACATTGAAATGGCCATTTTTTCCTATTAAAATATATTTCCTTTGTTGGTTAGATAATACTAGTTCTTTGTATTTACTCTGTTGATATTTGATAAACTATTTTATCTTTCTCCATCATTATCATCATCATGATATAAAGGCACATCACTGAATTAATAATATCAGTTCAGATATGTAAATCATAATAAAACATTCAGAAAAATTTTTTTCAAAATTAAAGACCTGCATATTTAAAAGTTCCTTGGGTGTATTAATGTCTGCAGAACTGTGTTTCTTATAGTAAACTGAAGGTGGAAATACTCACAATACTGAATTCTGTTTTTATTAATACTTATATTGAAGAGAATGTAAGAACCTTTAGGATTTTTTTAAAATTAGGATTTTTTACCTACGTATCTGAAAAATGCTTTACTAGACATGCACTCATTCAACAATACCTATTGAGAGTATACTTACTATATACCAAGTTTTTTTTTATACCAGGTGCTAAGATCAGAGTAATCAAAACAGACAAAAATTCCAGCTCTTGTGGAGCTAACATTCTTAGGATAAGCATAAGACCAAGAAAAATGGACCTCCAGAAGTCTGTGGTGGTCAAAAGTTTCAGGTAGAGGATATTGTGTTGTTTATCAAATAAATACTCACAAGAGTGAATCCCTCTAGGGTTTCTTACCAGTTTTAAAAAGAGACCTTAAGCACACAAAACTATATATGAATTATCAAGTTTGATCTGTCTAGAGAGTAAACAAGCGTCTTGTCACTTTTTTCTTTTAAGATGAAGTATTGAGTCAAAGTAGATGAGAATAAATACATTTACTTGAAGTTTTTTTAAATGTGTAATTTCTCCTTCCCTCTTTATCGCAATTACTTTAACAAAATAGGTAGATGCTAAGTGACCATAATCCATGATATTTCTTCAGTAAAGTTAAGTACTGAAAACATTCTGCATGCAGAGAAAATGGCTGATACTCCTTTCTGGAATGAGAGGTAATCTTGTTATATACAGTTTTATTTTTTCATTTAAGGCTCTTTTTTATATATGCCCATCCATGTAATTAAATGCAGAATACAAAAGGTAATAATTTATACTTTAGTTGCATATTTGAAGAAAGGATTACTAAACTGGAGAATTATTTTTAAGTGTAGGAACTGTAAATCAGTAAGGAGCCAAAATAGGGCAATGCTTGCTGAGCAATAGGAGGTACTCATTTATCTGAGGAGATATGAAATCATAAGGAAAGTCATATTGATTTTCAGTGAACTAGAGATAAGTTTTCAATTTAATGTTACCTTGATATTGTGGGTTCAATTAAAGAGCCAGTTCTCATTTTCAACTGGTCAAGTTCAGATCTCAGCTTTTCAATTTCTTCTGCTAATCTTTCCTAAAAATCAAACAAGTGTTACTTAGATGATATGCATATGTCAACAGCACCACCAACACTTAATTATGATAAACCAAGCTACCAAGCTTCATGGTTTTTTAAAAATGGAAAACTGATTAATGTATTCTGTTAAAGACTGTTAGACATGATAGTAAAATACATGTGATTTTCCCCTCAAAATGAAAATGTGAATGGCAGAAATCAATTTATCTACATTCCCTGACATTCACAAACCTAAATTTTTGCAAACATATGGGAAAGCTAAGGTCATGACCAGCTATATACACATTATTTCAAAATGCAGAGTAGAAAGCATAGCAATATAAATAATAAAGAAAAGGTCTTATTTCTATAGTAAGTGAAGAATTTCTACTATCCTGTAAGGATTGAAGGACACATGGGTGAAGGAGAGGGAAAACTGGACTAAAAGGATGAGGAAAAATCATCACCTAATATGAGTTAAAATCATTTGCTTAATATTGGTACAATTATCTGTGCATCTGATAACCTTCTGATTGGATTATCACCTTCAGTCTGTAAATTTATGGAGATAGGGGTTATCTGATGGCCCTTAATTAAATGTTCATGTAAGCATTTAATTTTGTTTTTATGATTATAAATTTTATAATGTTATAAACATTTAACTATAAATGATAACGTTATAGACATTTTCTACTGCTGTTGTTTTCCCCTTTCCCAGTGGCCAAGGCTTGACATTTTACTTGACTCATACTTCTTTTCTCACCACACTTCTTTGTCAGTGTGGCCTTTGCAATGTTTCTCTTATCTGCCCTTTTTATTCTTACTGTTGTCATCCTATATTACACACATTCTACCTTTTCCCTGAATTATTTTATCAGCTTCCACAGAGGAACTGCTACCTTCTCTCTTTTCCCCACATATTCTTCTGCTATATGTATCCTTTTCAAGAACATGTATGGTCAAATAACATATTTGCTTTATATTATTCAATAATTCCTTTTTGTATTTATTAATCCATTTGCTCATTATTTCCATAAATATGCACTGAGTATCTCTTGTGTCCTAGGCTTTAAAATAAAGTAGTGAACTAACAAATTTCCTGCCCTCATGTAATTTACACTCTAGTAGAGAACACAGTAGACAATTTGGGTTGGTAGGTAGGAGAAGGTAGAGTCATGTAAAGTCTCTCCATTAAAGTGATATTTGAGCAAAGACCTAGAGAAAGGGAAGGGGTTAAAAAATACCTTAGGAAAAAGAATATCGGAAAAAAGGGACAGTAGGTGTAAAAATGCCCCTTAGTGAGTGTATATTTGGTGAGGGAAAGGACAAGGAGGCTGGTGTGGCTGGATTGAAGTGGTTAAGGACAAAGACTAATAGGGAATGGATTTAGAAAAGTATGGGTACAGGGTTTGGGAAGGGTAGTCCGGAAGAACTTTGTAAACCATTTTAAAGTCTCTGGGTTTTATTCTGAGTGAGATGGGAAATGGCTGGGGGATTTTTGAGCAGAGAATTTTTATGATCATTATGATGGCTTTGAAATGGATTCATTAATGGAATTGGGAGGCAGAGAAGAAATAAAATTATTACTGTTCTTCCAAAAACAGGCGCGAGAATTATGGCTTGGATAACAGTGGTATTATGGGGAGAATGGCAGGGGTACTGGTTGTATTTTGAAGATAGAACTAGCAGAATTTGCTATTGGATATGGGGTGTGAGATAAAGGAAAGGATCAAGAATAGCTCTAAAGTTTTTAACCTGAGTAGCTAAGAGAAAGAAGTGATTTACTGAGAAGACAGCTGCTGGTGGTGACTAGGTTAGGTGGCGGTGGTGTTTAGGAGGTTAGGAAGATTGACTTGTTACATTTGAGATGACTATGTGTCCAAATAGAGATCCTGAGTTGGCCCTTTGAACTCCTCCCTCAGGGGAAAGAACTCAGTAGGTGATCTAAATTTGGAAGTGCTCAATTTATAGATGGTATTTAAATCCATGAGATCACCAGCAACTGAACACAGAGAATTCCAAAGCTGGTCCTAGGAACTTCAAATTTGAGAGATCAAGATCATAAAGAGACACATGGAGAGAAGACTTTGAGTATACAGAGGATTTTGCTAATAATGGATTGTGAATTAAAAACTGAGTGGAAATTTGAGGAGTTACAGGAGATGTGGTTAGATTAGGAAGTGTGCTCAGCTGTATGGGATGACATTCAGAGTGTGACATGTGATTTGCTTCCTCTAGTGACTGACATGAACAAGGATGCAAAGCATGGAATGATTAGCATGGCCAGTTGCTTAGGCAGATTGTTGGAGCTACAAGACTTGGGTAGGTGGTTGGGGAGTGGGTTCTAGGGATCTTGCCAGAAGCACACAGAGCTTTGGATAACATAACATTCCATAACAGGATCCAGTCCAAAATTCACAATCTGGTCACATCCTGGTTCTTTAAACCCATACCAGTGACAGCAAACTTCCAGTGATTCAGCAAGTCAACCATTTTTGTTTTCTCTGCACTACTGCATAGGTTTTCTCCTCTGCCCTGCTCTTCTCTATTTGTTAAGATCCTATGTGTGTCAGTCATACGTACGTATACACATATTCCTTTTCATGTTCTTTTTCATTATAGGTTACTACAAGATATTGAATATAGTTCCTTGTGTTATATGGTATAAATTTGTTGTTTATCTATTTTGTATACAGTAGTTGGTATCAAGTTGTACACCAGAAACTGACATAACATTGTAAACTGACTATACTTCAATAAAAAAAAAATGGGAAAAAAAAGATCCTATGTGCCTTCAAGAGACTGATAAAATGTCTTCTTCTTCATGTAGACTTTCTGAACTATGTCAGAAAGAATTAGATGCTATATTCTAAGTGCTATATTGTGTTCTCTAGTAGTACTATCTTTCAGAGGATAAGGATGTGTACACCCTGACGATGGGACTAAATAGTTATTTTAAAAATTATCATCAAAATATATATCATTCAATAGGGTTAAATGCACAATTGTTCTTTCTTTTCTTTATTCTCTCATCTTTTCCAGTACCTTCCATACACCATACTGTTGCCAGATCTCTCTCCCTCCCTCCCTCCTTCACTCCCTTCCTTCCTTCTATTACTCCCTCTCTCCCTCCCTTTTTCATTTCTATTCCTTCCATTATTTGTTCAATACACATTTATGTCACTTAAGTTAGTGATTGTATATTATTTCATTTATCTATGCTGAGCAAAACGAAATCACAAAATTGCTAACAAGAATTTTACATGCTAAGAAAGGAGGAAATGACATTAGCAATTACAGCTTTTAATATTTCATAATCTGTCCTTATCTGCCTATTCTATCACATATCC